ATATATATTTATATATATATATATATATATATCTCAATAAAATATAAACTGAGAATACTTTACATGATGATTTTGTCGGAAAGGATAAATTAATAAACGAGATATAATTCCTCTAGCAGAGATATAACACTAATAAAAGATTTGTGCGTTTTTATCTTGCGCGGACAGAAGACATTTATATCTATCCGTTCAGACGAGTAACTGACACACAATATAATAATACAATTTTGCAAAGTATTCTCAGTTTACGGTATAACAAATTTAAAACACATTTTTCCGAGTATTATAAAAAGAAATTGTCCAAGAAATTACTTCTTGTGTGCATATCAAAGAGAATAAAAATCTTTCAAAGTCTCGTATGTATCTCTCCGATATTTTCGCACGAACAATTTTGAGATTCTTAGATATCGTTTTGATTTCTCTGATCAGTCGAATACAAGTGTCCGCCCTGCCGTATCTCGCATATATTATTGCGCGGGATGTGTATAGATATATAAATACATATAAAAAAGTAGAAATAGAATCTTCCACAATATATATATATATATACGAAGTAAGCGATGGAATGAATATGAAAGATATGCTAGCATATCTATATAAATGCTATACTTGTGCGTGTATAAAAAAAAATCTTGCCTCGTTTACGCGGCGAGTCTCATGCGATGAAACATAAATAAATTATATTCGTTATATAAATGTTGTTGCACAAGGCACGCAATCCCGACTGCGTTCGTTAGGAAGTAAAAAGAGATCGACGTGGAGTATTTTTCGAGGAGGAGGCCCCTCCTGCCCCTTTTATCTCAACACGGAGAATCCTTTGGCCTTTGCGAAACGAAACGGTCTGCAGTTTATGTAGCGTGTATTGCATTCCGGTGACGAGGCGCGTATCGGCGTGCTGGTGTCGTTTTCTTTATCCCAGGCGTGTCTCGGCGACTCGATGCCAAAGGGACTGTACAATTTCGTCGGCGTGCGACCTAAGAGTTGGCGGGAACGAGTCTGAGGCGTCTGCATGTTGCACGGTGACTGCTGTTCCTCCAGTCTCTGACGTCTGCGCGTGGAACTTCTGAATTTCTGTATATAAAAACAATTTGTTTCATATATTTAAATATTAGTTGTATGCTTAAGTTCCTTTTTATTAGAGATTTGTGCGCAATTATGTTATTATATATGGAAATGTCATAGTGCATAAAATTTATTTTATTATTTCATATATTTGCAGTTGCAAGCAAAATTTTTAACGTATAATTGATTAAGGTTTCTTCTCCCTTAATCTACAATGTAATTATTTTATGCTGATTAATATAAAAATTATAAATCTAGATACTTAGTAAGTATAAATTGTGTACTTCAATTTTGAATATAATTTTGAAAAAATTTTTTTGCACAGTCTAATGGAAAAAAATCTTTTCTTATTTATATCAGGACTGTTACTTAAATATGATCAATCTGTGAATGAAGTATGATATTCATTCAAATCTGTATGTTGATCGAACCATTAACAATAAGATATACGATAACTATAGTAAGACAAAATAGAAAACAAAATCAATTTCTCATCATGATCTTTCATCAAATCTGTATTTACAGTCTCTTTACCTGAGATATCGTGCCGAAGGTTGTGCGCACGGAGGATATTGTCCTGGACAATTTCTCGGCGCCGTTTCGTAAAGCTCGTCTCGAATCCGCGGACACGTTGCCGAGGCTGATGTTGTTCCAGGTCCGGTCGGCCGCTTCTTTCGTCTTCGGCGATTTTTCCTTCACGCCGTCACCGGTCTTCTCGAATCGATCCTGCAAACGCTGGCGAAGGTTCCGCGAGGGCCTCACCATCTCCGGCGAGTTTCGCACAGCGAGCACCTCCCGGTGAAACGTGAACGACACGCTGCGCGAGTCCGGCCGCATCCTGTCGTCGCGATATCCCGGTGTCACGCCGTCTAGTCCTCCTATCGTGAATCTAGGACTGTCTGGGGCCTCCTCCGAGATTATACAAGACCGACCCGAACTGATCGAGGGACGAAACGTGACAGAATGCGACGAAACACGATCGCAGCCGTTACAGGCCGTTGAAAACCGTTTCGGAGCGAATTTTTACGACCACCTGATCTGATACTCGGGATGACAGTTAGAGGGGAAACTCCCATAGTAGAGCATTTTCATGGAGTTGTAAAGTTTAGTTATTTTTTCCCGAAAATGGTGACAATATGGCGTAGCCAATCGGAGACTCCAATAACAACATGGCGTAACCAATGAGAGATTCGCAGTCGTTCCACTCGCATTTAATTTTTCCGCCCCCTTTTCACGTTACCGTGCGTTCTCTCTAGTTACTTCGTACACCGTGCATTTGACGCGGTGAGTACCACGTGACGCTAGAGTCGTTGTCTCGGCCCTAAAGCGGGGGAGGGCGGCGGCGTTGCCATCAGTCGGCCGTCGTTCGCGGCCCGTACCGGCAACGCCGCACGGCACGGCATCTCGTCGTCGTCGTCGCGGCGCAGTGTGCGACACCCGTGCGCGACCAAACACACCCAATGTTTGTGTTTTCGAATTTCTCGTGATAAGTGCGTCCATCGTCGTCAACGCGAGGCGAGTGCAACGCGCGGCCAACAACGACACCTGACACGCCGCCGTGGCATGTAGCTATTATCGCCAGAATTTCCACGTCGTCGGTGTCTAATCGTCGGATTCCCGAGATGTGGACGACGACGAAAACTACAAAGTACGGCGTCGGTGAGTTTTATCAGGGCACGCACACGAGGCTCCCCTTAATCTTTTCCCTTCCTTCAGGAGCAAGTCAAATCGAACCTGTCAAACTCGCGCGTCGAAAAGCGCGCGCGCTCTCTCTCTCTCTCTCTCTCTCTCTCTCTCTCTCTCTCGAATTCGCGACAATCGCGTGGGATTGTCCGCGTGTGACAACTCGCGCGATTTCGCGTCGTTCGGCGGCGGTTTCGCTCGAGCCGGATCGTCTCAAGAGCGAGAGAACGTTCACACCGAGAGATCTCGCTCGCTCGCCGGCGACGTGCCACTCGCTGCGCTGCGTGCGTGCGTGCGTGCGTGCGTGTGGGTGAATCTGCGTGTACTCCATTCATGCATTGATCGTGCGCGCGAGTAGTAAAGTCCGCGCTTGATAAGCCCGGAGCCGGCTCCAGGCCAACGCCACGGGATTTTCGACAGATGCTTCACCGGCATTCTTTATTTCGAATTGTCATGATCTGAAGCCGTCTACGTGTGTCTACGATAACGAGATCTCGGCGATCTTAATAGCGCGTCGATGCGTAAGGAGGATCCTTTATGACAGTATTTCGCGCGACAGTATTTTTAATGTAACGAATTATCATATTGGTGGTCTGTCACATTAGAAATTAGAATCGATATAATCTCGCGGAGAATGCGATTCTACGTGCGATATACTGCGGAAAAGCGTGACTCATGTGTATTATCTCGTTTTCATTGTCAAGTAAAGATAAAGGGCACAGAAACAAAGAGCTTACACGATAAAGAGAAAATGAGAATTTTCTTTATATTCTAATATTTATCTAAAATTGTAAATTTGTGTGAAGCTATCACAAGTACTTTAAGATTCTTGTAACTATTAATTTTTTAATAATGCAGTAGAAAGATTTTTTTTATACGCAAAAATTTTGTTGTCATTTTATTATTATATTTAGAATTCTGCACTTATGTAATCTAGAGTTTTACGTAAAATTTCTAATACAAAAAAGAATATATATATATATATATATATATATTTTCTTTATATATATTTTGTACACAGAATACAAAATTCATCGGAAACAAAGGCAAGAAAGAATATTTTTTTACGAGAAGAAAAATGACATATTACGTTTCTTAAAACAGATTACACGGTATTAGAATATTTTCCGTGTTTCGCGAGACACGTTTATAAAATACGACGTGTTGCATAAACGGAATTTGATCACTGGAATGTTAAATATTCGACGAGAGGTTCGGCCGCGTTTGCTCCAAGATCTCTGACAAGGCGAAAAATTGGCAAACGCGACGAGGAGCGAGACTTCGACTTTGGGCTCAGAATCAATTTACGGCGCGGCCGGTATTTTTTTCGCGATTAATTAACGCTCGCTTAATCCCCGGCGCTTGTTTAAGGTCGTTAGCGTCGTCGTCGCCTCGATCTTCTCCAAGCAGTGCAAGCGACTCTCTAATCCGATAAATGCCTTTAATCGCGAATTTAGAAACGAATTATCGATCCTTTAATCTTCCTTACTTTACTTGATCTCTTTGGCTTTCCTCGAAAGAGCCGTTTATTTGAAAGAGCGAGTGAAATTTATTAGGCCAGGCTTTTCCATGAGAATTATCGGAATAAATGAAATAAATAATTTTATGAAAAATATTTATAAAAAATATAATCATCAAAATTTTATAAAATGAAATAGTAAGCGGAAGAGAAATATCGCTGTCGCTATAGCTTCCGGGATTTTTCTCCATTATACATATATATACCAGATTTGCGCTGGTTAAGTGTGTATGTCAGCGACGCGATTAAAGCACAATCTTTCAATCTACCAATGTACGGCACTATTCACGCGGTCGTGCCCCTATGCATTATTTCTTTTTAGCGTCGGTCGTAGATGTAGAATCGTATAACTGTGTTTCCCTTCCTCTCTTTCACTCTTTCTTTCGTGTGACAAGTCTGCAGATACATTATTGCTGCCATTACCGAGACCCTCGTATATACCGAACCCTAAGCGGTAAAGGCCAGATCCATCCCAGGGAAAGCCTTATAGCACTGTCCATTTTTTATGGTTAACCTGCGGCTTGCACACATTTCCGGTACCAATATCGTAAAATGCTTTTTCCAAAGTAGAAAATACTTTTAGTCCAAATTTTAGCAGAATAATCTCCATCTTTTGCTTTCTATATTTTGAAAAATATTATTATATTTAATTATCATTAAGTGTCTATCTCTGAGAGATCGATTATATTTTGTATCATTATAAGTAAAGAATATCTCATAAAAAAAATTATTATATATTATATATCCAGAAACACATTTTCTTTTTTTCTTGATTTCTGTGACAAATAAATTTCATGAAAAATTTAATTTCTGTATTAGAATCTCTCTGTTATTCGCGATTATATGCAATTATTATGTCAATGAATTTCACGTCCATCTACGAAAGAGACATTATAATGCGCGATGCCATTTTGAGAAATACTCGATCGTATAAATGTTAATATTATAGGACAGGCTATCTCGCAATATATATGAATGACGTTATCGGTGCACTTCCTGCCGTCTCGTCTTTGCTATTTGTTAACCACATTTTAAGCGCGCAAAAAGCTGCCGGTAATTCAACTCGTATGTACATATATACCGCATTGCCATCGCTTTGACATTTTATGATCGTGCATATATAAAGCGACGTTTCCGGTGCGAAAAATGTGCGGCGAAAATAGTCGCGACGATAATTTGCAATCGCGCGAATTCCGTTGATGCGAGTCTCCGAACTCTTAGATAAATCTAAATTAATAAAACTCGCGAAGAAGTAGAGCAATGAATGATAGAATAATATATAACATAATATACATTAATTTAGAATTCTTTGATAAAATTGAATATAATAATATTTATTGTAGATCAATAATTTTTTTTACATAAATTTATTGTAATATATATAATTTTTTTTCGTTTTGTGCATATTTTTTGTTTATATATCAATTTTCAATTTTCGAATATTGTGATGAGTTTCTTACGAGAGATTTTTATGGAGAAGGATAATCGCGCGTGATGAAAAGAGAAAGGCATTATGATTTCAGATGTCATTGTTTATGTCTTCATTTCGTGACCCTCCTAAAAAGCATCCCGCACCTACCACCGGGCGTTATTGATGTCCGACGCCGGCTCCGCACGTGTGATTGTACCACGTGTGTACCGGCGAGGGCATTAATGGTGCTCCCTCGTGTATGAATTCTTACCTTTCCCCTATTATATATCTACTCCATCATCTTTTATTTTTTACATGTATAATTTAATTTCTCGAGAACTTATTTTTCGAGATATTTAACGATTAGATAAAGATATAATTTTTTCTGTACTGACTTTTAACGGCGTTAAATATATAATGTACAGATACAGGCACGAGAGAATTGGTGTTTGCCGTTCGGAGAGAAAGGGAGCGTAGGGTCGGAAAATTCAGGAAAAGAACGATAGAAATGGCTGCCAGAGGTCTGTGCCTGCGGTCCCCTCGCGAATGTTTCGTACGGCCGAGAAAGGGAGTTATCGATTTAATTCCCCGGGAAAAGCCATGGGGGAAAGCCGCGCGACACGAGCATTTCTCGGCCTCTCCTTTGTTCGTGCTGCACGAGGAATGGATTTTTTTTGTGCGATGCGCGCATTTTTAGGATATATACATATTTACAATACATAGAATATATTGTATATATGTGTGTGTGTGTGTGTAATTTTTCTATTATCTCATATCAGGCACAGAGAATGCAGAGATAAAAACTAGTCTCATAGCAAAGTTCCGGATCCATACTTTTTTTTCTGTATCGTATATTGCATATTATTTTTTATCTGCTTTGTATTTTATTTTATTACATTTTTCTATCATTAGTAAATTTTTTTTCTTAAATAAATAAATGTAGTTACATAGCAAATTAGAGTCAGCGCGGTAGTTATTGCGCATATAATATTGATAGTTATTGCGCATACAATTTGCTATGTAATTACATTTATTTATTTATAGAGTCTGTACTTATTATTCTATTGTTTTTTTTTTCTTAATTCTCTTAATTCTCTTTCATATTATCTCTACATTTTTACTGTGTGCGAACAAATTCAACAGCAAACAAATTTAAAAGAGAGACGTCCACAAAGAAAACTATACAGCAGCTGATCTGTCTGTTATGCGGAGAAATTTTCTATCAAGACCAAAAGAGACGATGCGGAATAGTACATCTGCCAACTGGTGACGCAGAACATTCTGTGTATAAGTGACATTCTATTGATCGCGCTATCTTTCTTGCGGCAAACACGTGGCAAATGCATTGTCGCGATCCTTTGCCGACTGATCACTGAAAAAATACTTCATTGTTACTGCCCGACAGGAAAAAAAAAAAGAAAATTGACGGCTACTATCGCCATTCGCATAAACGTTTCG